TGAATGTGCAAAACGTTGGTGACGGGCGTCATCGAAGACTGTGTGCATTTTTCAGATTGACAGTTTGAATCCCTGATGCAACCTGTCCGGTCATGTTTTATAGAAATGAACACGACCTTGACCCTAACTAGGTCAAGCGGTTCTCTCGTGCGGGGCAAGCAGGCATGCCGACCGCGCCTCAAGCAGTTATTTTGTTGTTACGAAGAACGACAAGGTGGCAGCGCCACCACTTTTGGGATGACTAACGAAACGCCAATTTGTTGCGTGGTGTCAACTAAATAGGCCCAGGCGATGTCAAGGATATCACATAAGTTCATTCAGCATTGCATGCGATGAGTGCACCGATCTTCGGATTCATGTTTCACTGCGTCTAGAAATTATTTCATTTGATTGACCTAAAATGTTTTTGTATATATATATATATATATATATATATATATGTATTTGTATATTCTTTGGCGTGCACTGAAGGGCACAGACGAGCTGCATCGTGCTTTGCCAGTTTTTTTCTGCCGATGCATCGGCTTATTCCGTCAGCTGAGAGGGCCCTAGTAGTGCCTGCAAGCCAGTCGGAAACGCTACTTGGAGCTCCCAGGGGATCGATCATAGCCACGTGTTTGGGCCGGATAACATCAGGGCACGCGCGCGCGTCCACTGTTGACCCGACAGATGGGCTGATAATTACAGAGCGCGGCACCGTGCCCAATTGGCGCAACACCAACAGCGACGGTGCACGCAAACATCAGGGGGTCATGCGTCTTTTTATGTGGACCACCTGCGACAGGGTCGGCTTGTGCCAGCCCTGTCGTTACCAGCACGGGCTGGTAATGGGTGGACGCTGGTGGCCTGGACGGAGGCATGTGCCGTGCCTAATCACTGGAATTCGTTCCGCCGCCCTGCGCCAGATCGCTTGCAGTCCGTTGGCAGCTGGTAACGGTACTAATCTGAGAATTGCTGCGTCGGTGATAGCCGGCGAATTGCTGTTGGCGTCAAAGCCGAAGACAGGTTTATCTAGCAGTTCACATTCCATTTCCTGCCTCTTTAGGTCAAAGCAACGCTGAGTATTTTTGGAATGCTATGTGACCATTCGCGCAGCAGCAAAGCGTAGTGTTGCGGTCAACTCACTGGGATTCAACATTCAGTGCTAACGCGGCGATAAGTTCATAAGAAAGGAATACAAAACTCTACACAGGTTAGCGGCTAACTTATCGATTACCCGATTCGTTCTTTTTTATTCCTGCCACGAATTCGATCTGTCACAGCACTCAACGCGAAACCCAGGGCGAAACGTTGCTACAGGGCTTTGGTCTACCGTGGCCATTTTCACAAACCCATCAGTAGATGAAGGGATGGTGTGTACGAATGCTGTTTCTTTTAAAATTGTGCTTCCTGTACCCTCGCCCAACGAGGGTTTTTTTCTCTTTCGTTCAACGATGTCTCGTGAAAATGAGCCTTCTGAGCTCTGAGCTCTGAGCTCAGAGCCCCCACGACTTCAACAAGCCAGAGCCACGAGCAGAGCGACGTGCGTCAACCCCTTGGCCCCTTGTCAACCTGTGTAATACACAAAAAGCATGAATGTGATTTTTCATAAATCTTTCCTGCTATCACAAGAACTGGGCATGCCACGACAATGCCAAAAGACGTTGTTCAATAGCTCTTTGAAAGCGATGTTAGGCACTATAGTGGGCATTGACAGATGTGACTTTTTTAAAGTCAAGTCGCAGGGGCGCAGCCAGTCTTGTTAAGGGTGAAACCAGGGTGATGAAGGACCCATGCTGGTGAAATTCCCCCAATAAAGAAACCTACCGTGTTTGCCCACTTGACTTCGAGAAGGTCTTGTTTGTTTCGTTTTCTTTATAACATTTTGCCTTTTCACGAAGACAGAAAGAAAGGCCACCAGAATGTGTACCCAGTTTGCTTTAAGAAGTCAATAAATGAAGGATCCATGCATTAAATGACTGCATTGGATAAACGGTCGATGCTATTTACTTTTGAATGATTCAGTAGCCTAACCAGTGACGGACGCAGGAGCGTTGTCGGATTTTTTTCGTGTTTCTGCAGAGATATCGAAACAAGGCCTTAGTTTTGCGAAATAGGTGGTGGGGGTGAGGGGGAGTGAGGCTGAACCCCGAAAAATAATGCGGCCAACCCGAAAATACGCCAACAAATGGGTTTCTCCCAGATTTGATTCACTGTCTTTTCAAAGTTGGCGCCCGCCATCGAACATAGATCGTAGATCAAAATGGCGTCATGGCCAACCTTTGTCCACCTGGAGATGTTCAACCTTTCCTCAAAATCATTGAGTGAAAGAAGTTATATAGAGTTGTACAGAGTTATGTATGGTCGTATAGAATTATATGAAGTTGTATAAAGTTATAGAGAGTTGTATAGAGCTGTATAAAACTGCATAGAGTTATATAGAGCTGCGTAGGGGTATATAGAGTTATATCAGATCATAGGCTTTCGCAACTGAAATAACAAACATACCCACGCGACACTCTGCAGTCTCTGCGCATGACGCCCGCCCCAGGCCATATGGCTAACAGGAAGCACTAGTTAACAGGCGGGCAAGAAGCAACGGGTGAGTCCCTTCCGCTCTTGATAATTGTCTTTTCCCAACAACATATATGGTGATTGTTATGGTGGGGGCTGCTTTCCACGGCATTTCTGACAGGTATCCAAAACGAGATATTTTGACAATCAAAATAACAGCGTGGAAAGACAACTTGGACGCGTTAGAGACGCGTCTTGTTTGCGTTTGCTTTTTTGTATTTCGAGCGTTTGTATTTCTTTACTCTACGATTATTTTATTTTCCCAGCGTTCCCGATCCGGATTCCATTGCCGCATCCAGCAGGATTTTCCAAATCCGAAGGGCTCTTTGCAGATGTGCCGCTTGTCTTCAAACTCATCATCTCGGCGGCCTTTTGTCATAATGACTTCCTCCTCCTTGGCTGTTGCCACAGCAAGGCTGAACTCATCTCGCATTCACCCTATGACGCAGTTACCACGACTCCTCTCCAAACAAGATCCCCGCGCTCATTTTATGACTTTAACTTGGTTACGGCAGTGACTTTCAACCGAACCGTGGCTCTAGAATCCGAACAAATTGACAGCCAGTTGGCAGCTGGCCAGACGACCCTGACTGAAACCAGGACGGGCGTACGGGTCCGTCGACGGAGTAAGCGAGGAGCAGCGACGCTTAAGTACAGTAATAGTCCATAACGTTTAACGTGTGATAGATCGTTATTTACAACTGCTCGATCGCATCCGCCCGCCATCCGCCGAAAACACGAAAGAATGTGTCCTCATCTATTGCTACTTCATTACGCCGGGCCGACCGCGCCGCGGTTTTGTGTGGTACGCGGCTGGCAAAAGTATGCGTGGCAAAGTCAGACGAATTACGTGGTTTCACTCCTTCAGTGCTTAAATAGCAGTGCTACTCAGCACTTCCTCTTTCTCAGCGCAATAGGCATTGAATAGGAGATCACCTTTAAAGAGTCACTGTTTCGGCTGTCCCAAGTCGCTGTCTTGGCTGTCTCAAGACACGTCTCAGTTGCCCCGAGTCACTGTCTCTGCTGTCCCAAGTCGCCGTCCTTGCTGCCTGGAGTCGCCGTACCGGCTGTTCCGAGTTGTCATCGCAGCTGTTCCGAGCCGTCGGCCCGGCTGTCCCGACTGATCGTCCCAGCCGTCCCGAGTCATCGTCCCAGCTGTCCCGAGTCGTCCCAGCTGACCCGAGTTGTCGTCCCAGCTGTCCCGAGTTGTCGTCCCAGCTGTCCCGAGTCATCGTCCCAGCTGTTCCGAGTCGTCCCAGCTGACCCGAGTTGTCGTCCCAGCTGTCCCGACTGATCGTCCCAGCCGTCCCGAGTCATCGTCCCAGCTGACCCGAGTTGTCGTCCCAGCTGTACCGAGTTGTCGTCCCGGGTGCCCGGGGTCGCCGTCCCGGCTGTCCCAAGTCGCTGTCTCGACTCGGGCAAAACAGTTTCCAGACTTTCCATGCCATATCACGAGACATCTGCGAACTTTCACGTGGTAGATAAGTGAGACTTCGGCGAAAGCACATGGTGACCTCAGGAGTTTGAACTTGGGCATGATGAGCGTTATGAGCTATGAACATTAAGGTTATATAGCTTAAGATCTTTAAAAGCTGGAATTTTTGAACGGATTATACACATTGAGTGTTATGGACATCAGATGTTATGAATCGTACGGGTTATGAGCCATCGCGAATTATGAACAAAAAGTGTTATAACCAACAGCATATGTGCCGTATGTAGTGTTCATGAACAATTTAAGGTTTTAAGGTTGAGGACACATTTGGGGTTATAAATCACAAAGTGCTGTGAGCGTTAAGTTTCATGAACATGAGGGATTCTGAGCGTTAAGTTTCATGAACATGAGGATCCAGCCGGCCTAAAATGTCCGCTTGCCTTGTGGCATCAGCCAGTGCTGCCGTGCTTGCTTTTGCGACTGGACGGCTATGGAAAAGTCATCGAATCGTGCTTCAATAGTTTTAGTCTTTCCTACGTCGCTGCGTTGCATTTCATGTCACGTTAGCCTGGTTAGCATTGCGTTAGGTGTCACGTTGGCATTGCATTTCATGTCACGTTAGCCTGGTTAGCATTGCGTTAGGTGTCACGTTGGCATTGCATTTCGTGTTGCACGGTAGCCCAAGGGAAATGCAGGCGATCCGGGAATTCGTGCATGAATGTCATGGAAAGCGGTCCAGACATATAAAGCAGGGCCTCAACCATGGTCAGAATTCCTTATTTACCACCATTCGGGATAATGCATCGACCGACATCGAACGCGCTACCACTTCTCTGTCGTAAACCTTTCCACCCTTGTTCGAGGCATGTAACTGCAGAGTTTAGTGGTGGCACGACCTTTGACGTCGATTCTCTATTTTGGCCAGCGACATATGCACCGGTTGATCACCCGCCTGGGCGCGTTCGTTTCGACCCTTCCGTTTATAGAAAAAATGCGGACAAGGATTTCGTGAACAAGTTTATTCAAGGGGCTTACACTAAAGGCATGAACATCTTTTCCAAGGTGTCGCTGTCACATAGAGATTTGTGCACGAGAACATATGGACAGACCTACTTCTAAACGGGTTGAGGTGCGTAGGGTTCTCCGACTCCGGAGTATTTTATTTTCACGCGAAGCTTTCATTCCCCGAACATGTCACGTAAATGTCGATATTGATCTCTTCCGACCGTTCTCCGTCTCATTTTTCTTCACTTCCACTTGCGCATTAGCGCCTGCAAACATGCACCCATAAGTAATCAACAGTAATCAGTCCTATCAGTAATCAATGTCGGAAACATGCACCCGCATAAGCGTGTGGCACTCCGCACTCCAAGAACGCACACTTCTTTCGCTCACGCATTGCAACATGCCTCTCATACACCACTCCATCACCTCTGAAAGCAATGCCTGAACACGACGCCTTTCACTAGGATCCGGCGAGCAAACGGTCCGTCCAGAAGTGGCCAAACAGACAGATCGCAGAGCCGCGCCCACATACCGGCAACAAACGCGCAGAGCACACACGGACCGCGGCCCTGTAGACAGCCATCGCACACTAATATCCGCCGGAGTAATCAGCGCGCGCGACGACATATTGCCGCACGCATGTCACCTGGCGCCGGCCGCCACGATGCGGCGCCGGGCGCGATGCCACACCGACATCCAACATCAAAATATCACATGGTCGCCCGCTTCTCCCGCGGTTCGCGTGGGACGCCGCCCGTCCCGCCCAGCGACGCTCCCGCTGCGGGACTGGGACAGCCAGCGGGACGATATGCCGGGAGCAGCGCGTGTGCGAGAGGGGGGTGGGCACTGCGCGTCGGAGGGGGGGGGGGGGGCACAGGTGATCAACCCAATCGCCGATGTCTGATGCTCAGCCGGCTCAAGCTGGCCGGGTGGGTTATCCAGGACCGTTCGGTTATCCTGGAGCGTCCGGCGGTTCGGAAGCGTCCGGTGGTCCTGGACAGTGTGGCGGTCCTGGACCGCGCACGGGACCGGCCGGACCGCGGCGCTGCCGGTCACGCCAGGCAGGACCGCGGCCGGCGGGGTGCCATACCCCCGGTCGTTCCCGGTGCCGGACCGCGACGGCCCCGTATCGACGCGGCCGCCCCGCCCCACCGATGACCAGTTCGTCACCAGTGGCACGTGGGTCCGGCGGCCCGGATCCATCCGCCGCCGGGGCGCGCCGCGGTGCTGGGAGCGTAGTGCGGGCGGACACGGCGCCGGCTGACGGCCTGGGGCGACGGTGCGCCGGCGAAGCGGCGGCAGCAGTGGTATCTCATGGGCAAGTGTCACAGCCCGGTGATACGGAGCGCGGAATGTGCCGTCTGCGACGGTAGAGATGATGTCACTGCGTATTAACTCCAACGCGCGGTGTGGACTGCTGCACAAGGGCACATGATTCCACGCGTATTGCCTGCTGTGGAATGTGGCACGAGAAAGACCAGAAATAACTAACGGCGTTATCCTTCATGGCACCAATAGCGATCTTTCACCTATGCGACTTGCGCCAGCGGCGGCGAAACGCGCCCGGAAGCGGGCCTGACGAGAGCAGCGATGCCGTTGTTGCGTGACTGCCCGCTCGCCCGTTTCTTACACTGACGTCGATTGCTTCAACGAGTTCAAGGGTGTTTCAGATAACGGATAAGTTGGAATTTTGACGGCGGACGGAGCTGAGAAGACCTGAGAGAAATACGTCTGGGCGTAAGAAGTGCAGCCACAGGACTTGGCGACCAGGAAACACACGGAGCGCACGCCACTACGACAACGCGAGCAGGGTCCACGCGTATTTGTCTAAAAAGTGTGCACACACTGCGAGCTCACACGGAATGGTGGGTAGAATGCAAGGCAACACAATACCATCCATATATCCACGCCTGTGACCTGAAGCATCACCCGACAAATTATCCCCTGTTCCACGTACAAAATCGCGTCACGCAGCGACAACATTCGCCCGGCATCGCCCTGCCGTCGGCTTAGAGCACCAGCAGGTTCTCGCACGACTTGGACTTGCTGTCCATGATGCAGAGCTTCCCCAGCATCTCCTTGGCCGTGTTGAGCGTGACCGAGGTGCGCGAGGAGGGCATCCTCTTCTTGCGCTCGTCGGCCACCTCTTTCTTGCGCTGGCGACTGACACGCAGTCGGATCTGCTTGAGGATCCCCACCAGCAGCTCGTCGACGTTGTGCTGCACGCCGCTGGACGTCTCGATGAACTTGGTGTCGTGGTGCTGCGCCATCGACTTGCCCTCTGTCGGCAGTCGGAGGCGCCGGGTCAGGCGGGGACACTGGACAGACCGAGGGCGAGGCAATGAGAGACGGGAAGGCACCGACCACGACTGGCGAGGAAGTGATTGGAGAAGGTGGGGGGGGGGGGTCATGTAGCACTGGTCACGACTGAGGAGAAAGCAGTGGCGCAGAGGGGGCAGGCGGGGAGGGGGAGGGCGCTGGTCATGACTGGAGGGAAGCAGCGGTGGACAAGTCAGCAGTGACAAAAAGAGGGCGGTGGCTGAGATGGGAGCGCTGACCACAACTGGGCAGCGAGCGCTGGTCACAACTGGTGCCATGCACACTGCCTTAAGTACCTCCGGGTTACGCATCGGGCTACAGTGCATGTACTGGATTCTTCAGGTAACGAGTTATAAAGACACACTTCTGTAGCGTATAAGATTTGATGAGTTTTAAGGTGTGTTATCATTGTTCATGGGACTCCCAGTGAGCAGCCCGTGGACTGTAACGTGCTATCGGTCGCAAAGGAATCCCGACAAGGCAGATGACCGCTGTCAACCCGCCAATGCGTGGCAAGTTTAATGAGGTTTGGAGAAAACACTGCAGCGCTAAGGCTGAAGGCTGATGTGGGTTTTAAGTTGAAATCTGCGTCCTTCACTCAGTCCTTCGGATTGCCGCCTGTTCTGCATCTAAATATTCATGATACATTCACTGCGAGTGCATAAACAGCTGTTATTGCTTGGGAAAATGCTCCGAACTTCCATTGGTGATGTCAGAGAAGAAAATGCTTTCGTAAAACAAAATGTATTGTCGCACCCATAGTGTTATCCCGACGATCAGCCCGCATGGCACATCTTGCCGCTTCTGCTGCGTGCGATTGCCATCCGACAGTCGGCTTCTTATCACTTCCGCGGAGGCCTCGTCTGACCTTTGTGATCCGCCCTTTACGCCCCCCCCCCCCCCCCCCAGACGGCGCGGCTGGCGCGGCGGCCGCCTCCACCAGCTGGCGGCGGCACCGCCACCTATGGCAGGTAATTGGTGCGCTCGGCGGAGCCTGAACACCAGCGAAGGCGCAATAACCCGGCGCGATCGCGACGAACATCCACCGCTCCGGCATGCGATTAAATCACACCTAATTAAGGCGGCGGCGGGACTTTCCGCCCGGACGGGACGTCGTCGTCAGCGATGTGATTAATTCACGACACGCGCCACGCGCCGGCCACGAGGGGCTGCAAGTCAACCGGACATTCCGTGATGAAATGCCGCCGACCACTGTCTCTGACCAGACCCGTGTTGCCGCTGAGCACCCAGCCAGCGATTGTGTTGTCTCGGATCGGCAGCTCCGCCAGCAAGTGGCTTCACGGGCTCGGTGTGTGTGACGGAATGCGAGAACTTTAGGTGTGAAAGGATGCCGTAACGCAATTTCTGAGCCTCGCTCGCCAGGCTAATGGAGCGAGTTATTTCCATAAGCGAGCAAAGGCTACAGGCGGGGGGGGGGGGGGGGACTGCCACTTCAGCTGGGCACCAAAGTGAATGCCTGGCGCGATCGAGCCTGCGCGCACAATTGATCGAAACAACAGGACCTTCGCTCGGCTATGTCACCCGCTTCCTTTTCTTTGGAAACTGCCCCGATGTGTGTGCTTGTGTGTGTGCGTGTGTGTGTGTAGGTGAGTGTGGGGGGGGGGAGGGCAGCAAAAGTTCTCAGAGAAGGGAGCGGTGTTGAGTCCGTCATTTTCATAATCATACTTCAGGCTACGACACATCCTTGGCGTGTTTTGTCAATGTGCGTGGAATATACGCAGAGACACGCGTAATGGACTTTTTCGGCAAACCCCAGTGTACTGGCTTTGCGCATCAAAAATAAGAGTAGCTGCACAGCACACTCGCCTCCCCCCAACTTCAAAAAACTGTTTGAAGGCCAAGAACGCGATCTTAATATTTCTGGGCTTTATTTCGTCGGCGCCGCCCGTCTCTCGGCGGCTGCTATCGCCTCGGTAATTTCTTTGGGAGATGTTATGTTTTACTTATGGCATTTTCAATGGGCGGCTCCATGTTGCGTGCTTTTCGCTAGGTGGCTGTCTATCTCGTGTGCTTTTTTGCGGGATGATTCCCACCTGACGTGTTTTCCGCTAGGTAGCTCTGTCCTGCTTTGGTTTTCCTCTCGAGAGGACCCTGTCGCGCTGATGCCGGTTCCCCAGGGCTGTTTCCTAACCTCGTTGTCAAATCGGCAAAATTGGCTTATGTCCCTCCCGATGATGACGAATCTGCGTTCTTATTCGGACATTCCCCAAATCACACAACCTCACGTGACACGGCCGCGCCGAGCAGCTACTTTTCTTTGCTGGGGGGAGGAGGCTCAGTTTCCACCGTTGGCAGAGTTGGCCGCGGGGCCGGGGTCTAGCTGCTTGACGCGAGGAAAACTTTGCTGTCGATAACATGGTACTGTCATCCAAACGTACTGTTTCCTCGTCCGTATGCTTCGATCTGGATGTTTTGATTTGGATGCTCGGTAGATGATTTGGAAAGGGAAGGAGGGTCCAAGATTTCTTCTAGGCCCTATATTAAATGCCTTTGGCATTGGGGTTGACGTAAGTAGGGGGATACAGATTAAGGGGGAGGGGGAGGGACATGGTTTCTCAAAGGACTAAAGTTTCACTCATGTTTCCATGTGCTTAATTTTAGATTTGCTTCTAGACAAAATTGGCCGGATAAATGAAGACTCGATATTGTGTTGTCGGCATTGTTTCCGGCAACATTAGCCGGTTTAACATAACGTAGCTCTCTCCTTACCCTTCCTCTGGGCCGTATAGCATAAGCAAGCATAACGCACCCATTTGCCTGACCTTCAGACAGAACTTGAGTTCCTCGCCCTACACGCGACCTTGGGTCCGTCCGGGTGACGGGAGTTCCTCTGGGGTAGCTCCGTCCCACCAGCGCGCTTCCCACGGGGGCCGTGTTTCTCGAGGCGGTCTTGCCGGCGGTCCGGGCGCCTCGGCGCCACGACGGCGTTCCTCTCGAAGCGCCTCGGCACTCCGGTAGCGTTCCTCTCGAGGCAGCTCGGCACCCCTGTAACGTTTCTCTCCAGGCAGCTCGGCACCCCTGTAGCGTTCCTCTCGAGGCAGCTCGGCACCCCTGTAGCGTTCCTCTCGAGGCAGCTCGGCACCCCTGTAGCGTTCCTCTCGAGGCAGCTGGGCACCCCTGTAGCGTTCCTCTCGAGGCAGCTCGGCACCCCGGTAGCGTTCCTCTCGAGGCGGCTCGGTGCCCCGGCGGCGTCCTCTCGAGGCGGTTGGCGCCCCGGGGACGTTCCTCTCGAGGCAGCTCGGCACCCCGGTAGCGTTCCTCTCGAGGCAGCTCGGCACCCCTGTAACGTTTCTCTCCAGGCAGCTCGGCACCCCTGTAGCGTTCCTCTCGAGGCAGCTCGGCACCCCTGTAGCGTTCCTCTCGAGGCAGCTCGGCACCCCTGTAGCGTTCCTCTCGAGGCAGCTGGGCACCCCTGTAGCGTTCCTCTCGAGGCAGCTCGGCACCCCGGTAGCGTTCCTCTCGAGGCGGCTCGATGCCCCGGCGGCGTCCTCTCGAGGCGGTCGGCGCCCCGGTGACGTTCCTCTCGAGGCAGCTCGGCACCCCGGTAGCGTTCCTCTCGAGGCGGCTCGGTGCCCCAGCGGCGTCCTCTCGAGGCAGTTGGCGCCCCGGTGACGTTCCTCTCGAGGCAGCTCGGCACCCCGGTAGCGTTCCTCTCGAGGCGGCTCGGTGCCCCGGCGGCGTCCTCTCGAGGCGGTCGGCGCCCCGGTGACGTTCCTCTCGAGGCAGCTCGGCGCCCCGGCGGCGTTCCTCTCGTGGCGGCTCGGTGCCCCGGCGGCGTTCCTCTCGAGGCGGTCGGCGCGCCGGTGACGTTCCTCTCGAGGCGGCCCGGCGCCCCGGCGGCGTCCTCCCCGGGCGGTCGGCGTCCCCAGCAGCGCTCCTCCGGGACAGGGGACGGCGACAGGTCGGGATCGATGGCCGGCCGGCCGAGCCAGCGCCGTGAGACCGATTAGCCGCGCTGATCGGCCCGCTCGTCCCGATCAAAGTCTGTGACGCCGTCCCTGGGGCGGCGAGCCGACGCGCACGAGCGAGCGGCTCCGGCAGCGGCGACCCCGCCCGGTTGGTCGCAGGTGACCTCCCGACACCGACAGCGCGCCGGATGAGGAGGTGGTCCCAGCGCCGTTGTACGCGGGTGAGGCGAGCTCCAGCAGCATTCACAGAAACCGATCGAAGTTCAAGACATGGAGGGGTTTGTTGCGCCGCGTGGCATGGCGAGTGGGAGTTACCCTCCTAAGCAACGGTAATAGAATGCCAGTTAAAGGAAGTGTTCCACATTTGTGTGGGGTTTTGAACTGAGAGGGCGGGCCATCTTAAGGATCATTCTGTTAGCACGGCTCGATGCTGTTCTCTGACAGGGATCATCGTAAAAAATAACAGGGAAGGATTTTATGCAATCGACAATCCGTGACTACTTTGCCGCATCACCTTTCATCGAAGGCTATTCCTGCGAAGATTGGGAGCGGCAATGGACCTCGCACATCAGGAAAGCGTGCTGGCGCTCTTCTGACAAGCGAAGCTCACGCGCAGTGAAACGCACCTTCGCACGCTGCTTTAGAAGGGAAACACGACGCACCCCGCCGCTCACCCTTGTATGGAGCGCCAGCGACTGCAAAGGCCGCATAAGTGCTCAGGGATCATGACGTCACCGCGGTTCAAGCCCGGGCTCCCACGTGGGAGCACAGGGCGTTAATTGCTCCGTCATTACGAGCTTGGCACGTAAACAATGCCGACAACTGGAACCTAAAGCACCTTAACTGGCTACGTATGTCGATGCTGGTGTTAGGTGCTGGAGGTCTGGAGTCATGGACAAAACCATGGTGCGTAAAACTGTACTGCAAGCTTCAGTCAATGAGGACAACTAATTTTTCGCTTGTTTTATGTTATTTTGCCATGTTGCCCATAGGATGACTGAACAGTAATGTTGTGCTAGAAATAGTCCAGTGC